TTGTTGCATGCTCTTTGACGTATCGCTTCTCCTCCGCGCACAGCAAGGTGGATGGGCAGGACAAGCTGGCGGAGGAGGAAGGGGTGGGGGGTAAAGAAGGGCGGCGTGTGGCCGGGCCCCCGGCCGGGATGAAAAGCCAGAGTAACGTTCGTAATTAAATTTCGATTAAGGAGGGAAAAGTAATTTGTCATAGATAATTATACGGGGGCGCCGAGTGGGTTTGCGAGGGCGGCGGGCGGCGGCGGCGCGGAATACAGGAGCACAGCGAGAGCACTTTATCTGATGTAGGGTCAGTGAGGGTTAAGGGAAATTACAGGGCTATGAAAAATGCAGCGGCCCTTCGGCTCGCCTGATGGCTGCCCCGCCCCGCCCCGCCCCGCCCCAGGCCCTCGCCCAGGCAGCTAGATCACGCAATTTCTCCTCTTCTTCATTACGCTCGAAGACAAGGAGGGCGCTATGATAGTGGATTTTAATTTTCCGGTAAAGTACTTGTTAAGAAATTTTCCAAGAATGTTAAAAACAAAAAGTGGGTTCTTCCTGAACTTTGTACCTTTCTGAACTTGTTTTTCCTGGTAATGTTTCGAGTTTTCCAGAAAATATTCCTGATTTTTAGAACCCTAGCTATGAGCGAGCAACCGCTTCCGGTACCATGATGAAAGAAGTGCAGATACGCCGTTACGCTTTGCTAAGAACTATTATTTTCATTTTTCGAGAGAGTATGTACCGAGTAGGTTTGCAGGTCGGTAGCAGTGGAAAGGCGTCGAGAGAGGCAATCAAGAATGTCGAGACTCGAGACCCCCGCCGCCACCGCCGGCCCGGAGCTGCTGGGGAGCCGGGCCCCGGCGCGGCCCTCTAGTCTGTCGTCCAACACACACTGGATTTATGACGGAAACAAATCTCGCAAAACGTGCGCAATTTCTCCTCCTGCTGTTGCTCCACCGTGCCCCACCACGGCGCTCCTCCGGTGGGGAGGATGGGGGGGGGGGGGACTGAAAGAGGCTTGTGTCTGAGTTGGGGTCAACTCGTCCCGGCTGCGTCGGAACGCTGGCAGGGCCCCCGGACGTGGCCCGTCAGGCAGTGTCGCCAACACGGCGAACGGAAAGACGCGAGAATTCGGACAGAAGAAATAAGGAACACACCAATACTGTAAACTGCACGAAGAGCTTTCTCGGCAGAGCGCAGTGTACTCACACCATGGCATCTATTACTATAATGGGTACGATTTTCCAGCATGTTCAAAATGTTTCGTTTTTTCTTAAAGTAAAGAAGAGACAATTTTTGGTACGCGGTTAAACGTATTTTGAACCGTCTACAAACCCAAAAGAAAATGTGTGAAAATTGTGGAAAACTGAACGGAACACACAACATGCGGCTCACGCCTTCAGGGGCGCCGCCGCGTCGCTTTTTAAGTCAAGTCACTTGGCAACACCACACGTCGACGACAGTCTGTCGGACGGACGGGCAGACACGGTCGTGCAGACGGTAGACGGTCGGACAGAAACACGCAGCACGCGGCCTCCCCCAACAGACAGCCGGACGACGACAGACCGCACAAGGAAAGGGTTTGCCTGCATAACGACTGGCAGCACAGTGCCCAGCCCTCATTCACGGTCCGACGGAGAGGGGGGAGGAAGGGGAGAGAAATTCGTAAAGGGGGAGCGGGGAGGATGAGACAAGACCAGAATCCGCAGCCTGTCGTGTAGGCAACGCCCACACACCGGTGCAGGATAGGTTGCCTACCTCCCCTGCCACTAGGGTGCATGCTGGCATGTTGGCTGACTACGGGCAGGCGACAGCTTGACGCTTGACGCCAATCACCACTTTAGCTCAGTTCAAAAACCACGGCTTTGCGGGGGTTTTGTTTTCCGAAAAAAATGAGTGGTCTGATCGGGTATACTTTTGTGAAAGGTATACATTAGGTATACTTTAAATATAGCAGATTGGAACCGCAACACTTTGGTGGCACTTAAGGCAAACTTGTTTCATACTTTTTGTATACTTTTTTTACACTTTTAAGACACTTTGGCGTGTCACTTTTTCAGCTCTTTTTTCCCGTGCGGGGCGCGTCTCCGATGGTCCATTTCCATGCGCCGCAAATCGGATTTCGACTATAGTCCGAACTGTATCGGTACCTCGCAAAGGGGGAGGGCGGGCGGTTCGGCGAGAGGGAAGGCCCCACAAGAAGAGAAGGGAAACCCCGTCGCAAAAGCCAGATGAAGGGGGAAAACCCTGAAGGGACGGAAGGAGCGGGCCGGCGCCGCGCTCGCATTCTCATAGAGGCTGTTGCTTCCATCCCGCCGACACGAATTTACATTCTAGAGTAGAACGCTTCCACTGCATGCAAAGAGGAGGGCCGGGCCGTCACCGCTGCGCCCGGCAGGCAGGCCCGGCTGCGGCGCTTCCCACACACACACTACACTCTGCGAAAAAAAAGGTGGGGGGGGGAGGGGAAAAATTGAAAGAGAGAGAAAACGCGACCGTTTTCATGCCCTGCTACGCAATGCTGCTTCGCCTCTGCCATGCAAATACGCATCCAAAGGTAAAAAGAAGAAAAGAAAAAGTTGGGGGCGGAGCCGCGCGCGCAGAGGCACAGGGCACAATTTGATCTTCCGCGGCTGCGAGACCGCCCCACCTCCCCACCTCACCCGCCCCAGGCGCCGATCTAGGCCGGTCCTTTGGGAGGCAAACTGTGTAAATGTATCGGCCGGACCATACCTTTTGTCAAACGATTTGTGTTCGCTGGACCGAAAACATATCAGGCCGGCGA